GTGCTTACGACGCGGTCGGCACTGCCTGCGCTCCGTGAGCCCTGCAGTGACGAGAGAGTTAGTCGCCGATTCTGTGTGCGCGTGAGAGCGTCTGTGCGCCCGTTATATATTTATTTTTAGTTTTAATCTCGACGTGATGTCGCGCGGAGTGCCGAGTCTCCTGTCGGAGGACTCCGCGCGGCGTCATTCATCAAATCGGCCCTCCGTGGGCGGAGGAGCGGCGCAGCAGGATCCCGCCCAGCTCTGCTCCAACGTCCCCTACGCTCCCCCCCCCACCCCCCCCCCCCGCCTTCAACCAGCACCGACCGGCGTGGGGGGCGCGTGGTCGATTCACCCCCTCTCCCGCGACGGATAGTGGAGGGGGGGGGGGGCTGTTGCCGTCATCCAGCAGTGGATCGACAAGAGGTTCTTTCTGCACGCACCGCACGCGATCCCCGCCACGATCCCTCCCCCCTCACCGACGACGCCCACGGCGCCGCTGATTAAATCTCGCCAGTCCCCCGAGCCGGACCGTGCCACGCCACTCTAAAGGTCGGGTCACGGGAGGCGGCGGGGAGCGACCTCGGTGGTGCAAGGAGTGCGGGAGGGGGGGGGGGGGGGCGGGCAGCGGCGTCGTTAAGCGGTCATTGATGACGCCCGGCCGAGAGAGAGCGGTACCGGGAGACACGGATACAATCACGCAAGCTCATGTCTCCCAGGGCTAACGGTGAAGATGGTGTCGGCAGCATCGTCGTCGTCGTCATCATCATCGATCGGCGGCAGCAACAAGATCAGCATCATAGCGTTGGCATCATCAGTGCCGAAAGCGTCTTCATCATCACAGCCCCTTATCGGCGCTCTACCTTATTGTAGTGTCTTGTAAAATCACTCGGACTGACAACGTTGTAACAGGTCACCTGCTTACACTTTATTAGCCTATTCTTTCACCAGTTGTAGGCACTCCTATAACTGTCTATACGGTCACTTCTGTTAACCAATTCCCACTCTCATCTACGTTACACCTCGCTAACCTGCACACAGTCGCTCTCGCGCAGCTCCGCACTCAAGGCTTCGCACACAGCACCTCTCACGCAGGGGGTTGCACACAGTGGCGCTCACACCGAGGGTCGCACACGGCAGCTCTCACCCAGAGGCTTGCACACAGCACCTCTCACGCAGGGGCTTGCACACAGTGGCGCTCACACCGAGGGTCGCACACGGCAGCTCTCGCACAGAGGCTTGCACTCAGCAGCGCTCGCACAACTTCTCGCACAGAGGCTTGCACCCAGCTTCTCACACTCCACCGCTGCCCTCGCCAATGTTCTCTCATGCCCACTCACTCGTCCATCCCGAGCGGGGGGATGGACCCTCACCCGCCCGGCGACTCGTGAGGGTTGAGTTCCGTTCCCGGCTTGAGCGGCAGCGGCGAGACCTCTCCTCTCTCTTGTCCCCAGCAACACGAACTCCCCGCTCCGCTCTCACGCCCGTCCTTATATCCCCCTCCCAATTGTCCAGCTCCTCCCTTGTGTCTCTCTAGGGCCAGACAGGCTGCTGCCTGTCAGGCCGTCAATCACCCCTCATCGCACGTCTCCCTGGCAACACCTCCGGTGTCAGCGTGAAACCCCGGGCCGACCTGGTCTGCACCAGCTTCTCTCCCAAATTAGGTGGCGGTTTGCCCGTGCAACCTAATGTTGCACACGCGCACGTGTGCTTGTCCTCGGTTGCCCTCGGCCGACAGTGTGTGCCGCGTATTTCACCACAATACATTATTATAGACCAATTCTCGGACCTTATTGGTCACCCCGTGCCCTTAGAAATCTCAACGTTCTTCCTCCAATGTCCCATCACAAGGGAGACACACAAACAAAAAAACACAATTATTTTTGTTGGCCCGTATTGAAACCACCGTATGGACCTGAAAACGCAGTTTCCCTGTACATGAATACGGGTAAAACGTATGGGTTGACAGGTATGTCATCAGTACCAGCAGCAGCATCCGCATCATCATTGGTGTCAACAATTCCATCATTATCTATGTCAACCGTTTCATCATCATCATCATCTTAATTATTAATATCAACCGCATCATTGTCTGTTGCAGCAGTTTCATCGTCATCAACAGCAAAAGTAGCAGCAGGTTATCATCAATGTCAGCATCGTCCTTGTCAACAACATCCTCAGTAGCAGCAGCAGCATCATCATCATCAACAATAGCAACAGCAGTAGCATCTTTAAAGTCGTCGGCATCATCATCATGATCATCGTAAGTGGTTATATTGTGTCTCTGGAAAACTGATTCACCTTTATGAGGGTGAAACACTTCCTGTCCAGCTGAGCAACCCATAGTTTCTGCCAGGCCTTGCCAACGCTTCATTAACACCAATCACATTGAATTCGCGAACCCATGGGGTGCCGGCCTGGTGGATTGTGGGCGATCATGCAATTTATCCACAGTGCACCTGCAAGCTACTTTTGCACGGCGGCTGTACTTGCGATGCGATTGGGGCCCACTGAGTTTGTGACACGCAGCATCAGACCACCCAGTTGCATGTGTTGAGGTCTGCCGGCCACGACGAGAGGGCTTCAGGAGAGAGAGAGAGTTCGTGCCGTTTTGCGATTCCTCCTCCGTTGAAGGAGCGGTGGGGATGCGACGGCGGCATTATGCGTACAATGCACGCGTACAGTGAGACACGGTTGGGGGGGGGGGGGGGGGGACACACGACCTTCGTGTCGTGGCCGCGCGACGGACGCCGGCGTCCAGCAGCCTCGACCGGACTCGCTTGCTTGTTCACAGCGCGACCTCCACGCGACCTCCACGCGACCCTCCCCTCTCGAAAACAACGCGCGGGAACAGGCGTGCAAGCGAGTGAGCGGCTAGTGGGCTAGCTGGTGACCTGGCGGGGATAGTCAGCGAGTAGGTGGGAGAGCAAGGAACCTATTGAGCTGGGGGGGGCCTAGTGAGCTGCTGGGCTAGCGAGCTCACGGGATGCTCGGCAAGTTCATGATCTGTCGGGCTAATGGACTAGCTAGCAGGCAGGTGAACAGGCCAGAGGCTAGCGGGCTACAGGCTCGTGGGCTAGCAGGTGGGACGGTTGGTGGGAGGCCTAGGCCACGGGCGGTGGGGAGGTGAGGGAGACCACGTGGACAATTAACCTCCTCACCCTCGGCGCGGTGCTAGCTATTCGTGACGGATGCCGCCTCGCCTCGACGTTCACTGATGACGAGGAGGAGGTGTCCCTCGTCGTCGTCTGATACGTGCCGACGCACGGCAGGGGGTGCTCTCGTTGCGTACCGCCGCCGTGTTCCGTTTAAGGGAGAAGGGGAGCGAAAAAAAATTGTTAAAGCGAGAGGTGGGGGGGGGGGGAAAGGAATTCAATTTTATTTTCTGTCGCGCGAAATGAAAGGATCGCCGCTTCAGCCTAAAGGTCACCCCTTAATGTTTCTGTAAAAGGGCCCTGCCAGCCAGAACCGCAATTTGTTGTAAAAAAAAAAAAATCCTACCCCTTTCAATTTCCTGCGTTATTAATATGGCCAGTGCCGCCAGAGCGATGGCAAATTTAATCCACGGTTCGATTCGTTATCATTGGAGGATTTTTCGGACGTATTTAAATGCGCTCTTCGTAATGTTTAATTACATACTCTTGAGCAGACGCGAGGACACACATGGAGGGCGTGGAGACACGCGGACGCACGTGAGGACACATGGGAGGGACATGCACAGGGACACACACGGGAACAAAGACGGACACATACATGGACGCGCACGGGGAGACACGGGAACGGAACACACGTGGACACACGCACGGGGACACGCGCAGGGACACACGTGGGGACACACGTGTGGATGAACACGGAGAGCTCGCGATCGTTTAAGATGTTGAGTGCTCCTTAAGAGTCTCGCGGTGTCTCTCAACGAAATGAAGGATCGCCTGATACGCTTGCGGATACCTAGAAACATCGCGGCATACGCAGAACACGCAGCCAGGTGCATCCCGTTGGCTTCACTGAAGTCCAATCCAAGTGGAGGTGGCCACTGACTCGGCTCAAGAGATACTGGGTTCGAATCCGGGTTACCGCCGCAGCGATTTCAACCGGGGTCTCAAGTCACACGGTGATCTTCTCAGCCATGGTCACCAACGACTGCACAGAACAGAAAAAAATAACCCATCGCGCTAAAAATTCGTTTTTGTTTTTTTACTCCAGCACTCCAGCACTCCTCCTTATGGCTGGTGCTGATGTTCTAACAAACGCATTCCAAAAAATCTGAACGACGTGCAACAATCCCTGCACAGCCGATGCAAGGAGTATCTGTCTCCAACGTGGATCGAGAGGGCGACCGTGACCTCTTCCAATACCCCTTGTCCCTCGTAACGAGCGAACGGGACTGACCGACAAACATCGCATTGGTGGGTTGGGGGGGGGGGGTGGTGCGTGGACTGTGATGTGAAGCCACGATGCGTTCACAATCCCGTCCAGACTACGCAGCTGTGGGTCGGGATGGCAACAACTCGCGGTGGGTATGGGAGGGCAATAACTTGCAGGGGTCACGGGGCGGAAACAACTAGCGGAGGTCACGGGACAGAAACAACTCGCGGTGGTCACAGGATGGAGAAACAACTAGCAGAGGTTACGGGACGGGGGTACAACTCGCGGTGGTCACGGGACGGAAACAACTAGCAGAGGTCACGGGACGGGGAAACAACTTAGCAGAGGTCACGGGATGGAAACAACTAGCAGAGGTCACGGGATGGAAACAACTAGCAGAGGTCACGGGATGGAAACAACTTAGCAGAGGTCACGGGACGGTGAAACGACTAGCAGAGGTCACGGGACGGAAACGACTAGCAGAGGTCACGGGATGACCACAACTTTATTTCGATAGGGCCCCCCTCACCAGGGAGTGTTCATGGATCTGCAGACGTGAGCAGAGGGCATCACGTCTTGCCCACAAGACACCACACACTGCGCTCAGTCCCCCCCCCCCCCCTTCCCCCCCCCCGTATTCCGTGCCCCCATGGTAGAGTCCGCTGAGCCGGTTGCTGCACGCCGGCGCGCGTGCGAGCTGTGCGTCGGCCGCTCCGGAGGCCGAGTTCACCGCCGCCGTCACCGCCCAGGAGCCGCGCGCCATCTTCCGGACCGCGCAGGCCGATCCGGTGAGTCGCGGCGCGATTGGTGGAAGCGGTTTTTTTTCACTTTCCGCCGTGAGGGAGAGCCGGGCAACGGTCGGTTCGCGGACGCGCTGGTCGCGCGACAGCGGTGGCTCGGGGCCGTTGAGTCAAACCCCGGCGCAGGTTCCCCGTCGCTGTACGCGGGTTTGTGATGCGTGGCGCTGTCCGTGGTGCCAAGCCACTTCTACCCAAAACTTCGCTTTATTACGCGGTTGGAATTCACTCGACATGCGGATATGCGGTCGGACGTGGGGCAACGTTGTGTGCTTGCTGTGTGTAGCGTGTGTGTACTGTGTCTGTACTGCACGTGTACTGTGTCTGTGTGTACTGCGTGTGTACTGCGTGTGTGCTGTTTGTGTACTGTTTGTGTACTGCGTGTGTACTGCGTGTGTACTGCGTGTGTACTGTGTGTGTACTGTGTGTGTACTGTGTGTGTACTGCGTGTGTACTGCGTGTGTGTGTACGGTGTGTGTGTACTCTGTGTGTACTGTATGTGCTGTGTGTGTGTGTACTGTGTGTGTGTACTGTGTGTGTACTGTGTGTACTGTGTGTGTGTACGGTGTGTGTGTACTGTGTGTGTACTGTGTGTACTGTATGTGTTGTGTGTGTGTACTGTCTGTGTGTGTGTACTGTGTGTGTGTACGGTGTGTGTGTACTGCGTGTGTACTGTTTGTGTACTGTGTGTGTGTACGGTGTGTGTGTACTGTGTGTGTACTGTGTGTACTGTATGTGTTGTGTGTGTGTGTACTGTGTGTGTGTGTGCTACTCTGCAGGCAGCTGTCTCCTCGTGCGGTGCTTTGTGCGTTGGGTGACCATGCGGGTCCACAATTTCACTTTGTGCGCCCCCTTTTTTTGGAAAGCATCTACCACTACTACTACTAGGACCGCGTAGAGCGAGAGAGGCCTGCACTCGCGGCGTTTGCGACTCCGCCGAGCGTGACGCGATCGCGAGCGAGGATGGCCGTGTGATGTTACGCGCAAAAAATAATGACGGTGAGAGTGATGATGACGATGTTGACGACAAGGTGACGGCGACGGCAGTGATGGTGGTCACATGACTGATGTATGCGTGTTGAACTTCTTTCGCACCGTGCTTAGCCAGCCATGCTCATCGGAGGTGCGGGAGAAGGACAAGAAACTAAGAGACAAGAAGCGGTTAAGAAAAAATGTACTTTTAAATCTAGATTTAAAAGTTCACAGCTCCAGTGGCGTCCTAATATCGTAAGGAAGAGCGTTCCAGACGGCTGCAGAAGCGCGTCTGAAAGCGTGCGATCCTGTGACCGTCTTTGTTAGATTGCTAGCCAAAATTTTGCTGCTGCTGGGAGGATTAAAAGGATGCTGGTGGTGGTGGTGGATGATGATGATGATGATCATGATGACGGAGGGTTGACAATGAACGGGGCCCGCGTTTTGGTTGCAGGCACTGCACTCGGAGAGCCACGCGGGGCGGTTCTACACCATCTCCCCGTCCGACATCGCCACCGTCTTCCCGCACGGCCTGCCCCGCAGGTTCTACCAGCAGGTGGGGGTCACCGCGTCAGAGGTCGCGAATCAACCGGGCCCGGGAGGGCACTCAATCCTGGCGCTGGGTCTGTGGTCCCGCGTGTCCGTGCGCTGCTACTTGACCCCGTGTGTGTCTCCACGTCCTCGTATGTCTCCGTAGTCCCCGCATGTGTGTCTCCCGAGTTCCCGTGTGTCTCTGTGTGTCTCCATGTCCCCGTGTGTGTCTCCTTGTCCCCTTGTGTCGCTGTGTGCCCATGTGTACCCATGTGCTGCTGTTTGACCCCATGTGTCTCCGCGTCCTCGTATGTCTCCGTGTGTCCGTGTCCCCACATGTGTGTCTCCCGAGTCCCCGTGCGTCCCCATGTGTCTCCGTGACCCCGTGTGTGTCTCCGTGTCCCCGTGTGTCTCTGTGTGCCCATGTGTACCCATGTGCAGCTGTGTGACCCCATGTGTCTCCACGTCCTCGTATGTCTCCGTAGTCCCCACATGTGTGTCTCCCGAGTCCCCGTGCGTCCCCATGTGTCTCCGTGACCCCGTGTGTGTCTCCGTGTCCCCGTGTGTCTCTGTGTGCCCATGTGTACCCATGTGCAGCTATGTGACCCCATGTGTCTCCGTGTCCTCGTGTGTGTCTGTGCCTCCGTGCATGTCTCCACGTGTCTCCATGTCACCGTGTAGACGCGCACATTTAACGAGGCGTGCCTCCGTGTGCGGGGAGCGGCAGCGCTCCGACCGCTGCCCTGCCAACCCCGCAACCCGGGTTCGATTCCTGCTCGTGGCCAACACCAGTGACGATTAACCGAACCTGTCCTGGGCCTTCCTTAGGTCGACTCGGCCTCGAACGAGCACATGGTGCGCGGTGCGTCTCCACGTGTCCCCCCGTGCGCGTGTGTCCCCGTGTAGATGCACACGTTTAACGAGGCGTCCTTGATGGTGCGGCCTCCGGCGCTGGAACTCATCGCACTGCTCAAGGGCAGCGACCTCTCCCTGCCGGTCGTGCGCTACGTCATCTGTATCCTGCACGCAGACGACGCCAATCGGCCATCGTCGGCATCGTCGTTATCTCAACTTGAGCCGTAAACTATTTTTTATTTGAGCAGGTAAGGCCCCGCTGGGCTGTGTGATAGCTCACAACGAAGCGGCTTATCATCGGGTGGAAATGTATGGCAGCCAGATACTCTAAACGAGCGATGTTGATTCTGAATGTGGAGGGAAAAACCGTAGGACCTGGATAAAAATCCCCGTGACCACAGAGAGAGAGAGAGAGACAGTCAACCTCCAAATATACAGCAGCAGGCGTCAAGCGTCGATCGAACCCACGACCTCCTGCATACCATGCAAGGTAGTTAACATCTCGCCACCGTGGCCCCCTGGGCATGGACATCCCCTAGGTCAGTCCAGCCTTCAATGGAGTACCCGGTGTGATGCGTAAACATCACCACTCGGGGAGACAAAGGCGGCTGGGACGTGTCGCTGTTCATACCACCCACGTGCCATACTGGCCTTCCGGAGGTGCTACTCGCCAACAGCGCATGGCCCAGCAACCTTAAGGGCTATACAGGGGATCGTTTGACTTATGTGACTTATATACAGGCGTCAGGGTCGAACCCACGACCTCCTGCATACCTGGGAAAATAAAAAGTTTAGCTTAGTCAATCGCATCGCACCGTCTCCGTGGTGGATGCGTTCCCTCCTTTGGCTGCCGTTCCATCGTTAAGTCTCGACCAGTCCAGTGGCGTGTCCCCTGCGCAAGCCCTCCGACTTTTCGCTTGAGTCGTGAAGTTCCGTCGGTTTTCCCTGAGCTCTGTACGACCGCCGCCGCCGCCGCCGCCGCCGCCGCTCAGACGGGAAGAAGGGGACGGGCAAGTCGATGACTCTGTGCCACGCCGTGCACTACTGCGCGTCCCAGGGGTGGATGGTGCTGCACGTCCCCGACGGTACGTTCGCCGCCGACGCTGAGCTCACGCGCGCGTGCGTCCGCGAGCCTCGTGTGTGTTGACGCGAGTGAGGACCGCAGCGCGCCCTGGTTGCTCCGCGCCGGTCTTGATGGGTTGCTCGCTACGCCGGGGCGGACCCTTTGTCTTTTTCGTCTCGCTGCAGCTCACCAGTGGCTGAAGGACGTGCGTCAGCTCATGCCGTCGGCGTACCGGCCTGGCCGCGTGGACACGCCGATGCAGGCCGTGTCGTGGCTCGGCCACTTCCGCACCACCAACGAGCGGCTCCTCAAGCAGGTGGGGGCGGGGGCGGGGGGCGGGGGGGGGGGTCCCGCCCACGGGGTCACTCAAGTTTGCGGGTCATAGGAGAGGTCACAAGCAGAAGGCCTTCCCCAGTGCGTGGCTTGTCTGTGTTGTGGTCCATCGTTTGAGATGTAGATGCACACAGAGACCCGCAGACTCGCATATCGGAATGTTTATCTATACTGGAAGAATCCGATGAGCTATATAGAAACCCATATTCACATTAGAGATGAACGCGCTCGTATAGAGACCCATAGACTAGCGCAGAGACCCATAGACTCACACAGAGACCCATAGACTCACACAGAGACCCATAGACTCACAGTGACACATGAGACGCACATAGAGACCCACAGAGATGCACACACTCACATAGACCCATATAATCACACAGAGACCCGTAGACTCACACCGAGACCCATAGACTGACAGAGATCCATATAATCACACAGAGACCCGTAGACTCACACCGAGACCCATAGACGCACACAGAGACCCGTAGACTCGCAGCGAGAACCCGTCCACACTGACACGGAGGAGGTGGTGGGCAACGGCGTGTGCAGATGACGACGCGGAACAGCTACACGTGGAGCAAGCGGGAGAGCACGGAGCAGGGAAAGCCGCTGCTGGAGATGATCGAGCTGGTAACGGCGGCACCGTGACAATCTACTCGGCGGCGGCAAAGGGGCGGGGAGGGGGGGGACTCGGGGGTGTGGCGGTCGTGGGTGGAGCGGAGCGGGGGGGCAGGAAGGAGCCAAGGGGCTCGTGAATAGAAACCCACGATGCTAACGGTGACTGGGTGATGGTAACGATGGCGATGATGATGATGATGCTGCCAGCGATTGGATGATTGAACGCGTGGGCTTTGGCGACCGATATTTTGATTCAGAGTTGAATTTTGGGTCAGATTGTGCAAGTAAAAATGCGTGTTGTAAAACCTTCCTCCGTCCGACGCAGCCAATGAATAAAGTTGTCACGTGATGACCAGACGTGGCCAGTGCATCGCCGCTTCAGCACCACCGGTAATGTTTCAGAGCAACCCACGATCTGACCCAAAAATCAACTACGAGATTGGATGTTCATTGTGCCGATTGGACGACCACGACGACGACGACGACGATGATGTTGATTGTACGTTGGTGGTGGTGGTGATTGGATGATGCCGACGATGAAAATGATCGGAAGACCGACAAAAGAACGATGATGATGCTTGGATGTTGGTGGCGACGGTGATCGGATGACATTGACGGCAAAGCTGATGCCGACGATCGAATGATGACGACGACGGCTTGTGCGGCGACGTCACCGACGGTCGCCCCGCGATCGCGGGCCTTGCGCTCAGGGCCTGCTGCGGCCCAAGGTGGCGAGCGACGTCGTGGGGGCCCTCTTCAAGGAGCTCAAGCAGCAGAGCGCCACCATGGCGCAGCCGCTGCTGGTGGCCGTGGACAGCGTCAACGCGCTCTGGGGACGCACGTCGCTGCGCAACGAGGACCGCAGCGTCGTGAGCCCCACGCGCACGCACAGAGAGAGAGAGAGAGAACTCACCCTGACACTCAGTCACGCATTCTTTCCCTTTTTGCCTTCTCACCTCCCCTTCACTCGAGCCAACTCCCACTGCAGCACACAGATCGATCGTCTGCACGAAGAACCCGCTTCTGTTCCTCCCTTAAAACGGTCGCCATCTCCTCTCCCCGAGCCCAACATATTCGTCCTGATGCTCCTATGCACTTGCCCCCACTCCTCGGCTCCTACCATGCCTACCACCCAACACTATCACCACCACCCCCACCACTACCCCAAACCCCACTACTACTGCCCCCCCCACCCCATTATCACTACCCCTATCGCTGTCCCCATCACCACCCCTACCTCTATCACTACCCTACCACCACGATCACCACCCTTACTGCTACTCCCTGCCCCCCCCCAGCTATGACAAGGCTTACCCCAACCCCTCCTTAGCAACTCCCGCCTGTTCTCCCGTCACCATAACTACACCAGCGCAGTGGACTAACCGCTCCTCCGATGCTCCACCTTCGTGCAGACAAACAAAGACAAAGATCCCCCGTATAGCCTTAACAGACTGTAGGGGCAAGTGCCGTCAGCGAGCACCTATGAAGGCCGGCACGGCACACGAGGGGGTGGGTGGGCAGCACCACGCCCGACCGCCTTTGTCTCTCTAGTGGCGATGTTTACTACGCACCGCAACCGGGTACTCATTTGAGGCTGAGCCGACCTAGGGGAGGCCCACGACCGGTTCAGATAATCGTCGCTGGTGTTTTGCCGTGAGCGGGAATCGAACTCGGGTAGCCGGGTTCGTAGTTGCAGACAGACAGACACCAGCAAGGAGAGCTCCGGGCACGCGGCGTGGCTGGAGCCAGTGGCTTCTGGAGCTCCGTGGATTGTGGTCCCTGCTACGGTCACGCTCTCCCTTCCAACCCCCATCCTCCTGCCCCCCATCCTCCTGCCCCCCCGTGTCTCCCTCCTGATCCTCTTCCTCCCCGTGTCTCCCCCCCGCCTGGCCCCGCCCCCCACATCAGGTGAACGTTGAAGACATCACTCTGCTGCGAAACCTGAAGAAATTCGTCCTCAACGACTGGGTGAGCCACTCCCCTCCCACTCCTGTCCGGCAGCGGATCGATAACGCTGGGCAATGCAGCAGTTGTTACGACGTGTGTGTGTGTGCGCGCGTGCGCAGTGAAGCTCCCTCGCTGTGAAATTGCAATCTGGGATCGTCCAGCGATTCCGGTAAAGGCGCAGCCCCTGCAATTGTCGGCTCACGCCGCTGCCGGCAGAAGGGAGCTCCCAATAGAGGGAGCCCTTAGAGCGCACTCCTCTGAAAAGGTTTTATTTTGGCCTACTCTTCCACACGCGGACCTGTTTGGGGCGGCTGCGGTGAACCCTTCCTGTGGGCGTTCAGGAAGTGTCCACGCCCAGCCAGAGATTGCGGTGCAGCACAGTGCGGACTAATCTCCATCTGTCCCTTCTGCACGGGGACAGAGCATCGCCCGCTCGCACACGCGTGCGTTTCCTCCCAAAACTTACAAACACCGATTAATTGGCTGAAAAACATCGTGATGTCTAGAGGACTGCAGAGCTTGGACAGTTGTGAGAAGCGCCCGCTCACCGCCTGGCTGCCACCGCCGTCCAGCTTGTGGCGGTGGTTCTTTCCCAACGATTGCGAGAGGACGCAATTTTTGCGTGAACGACGGCGCTGTCCGTAAATCTAAACACGCCGTCACAGTGGCCGTGCCGTTGTTGTTGTTGTTGTCGTGTAATGGGGGCGGCGGGGTGCGGTGACCGCATTGGCGCCTGCGTGCAGAGCAACGGCGCGATGGTGTCCACCGTGACGCAGACCGGCTCCCTCTACACCAACCGCCTCTCGTACTTCCCGCAGGAGCTGCTCGGCAAGGTACGGGCCGCGACCTCTAACCCCTAAACCCCCGACCCTTGACCTAGCCGTCAACAAATTGTGATGAATCGAGCGCTGCCCTTCTGGTGACTTGAGGCGACGGTTTCAGGGGGTTCATTGTTAAAACCGGGTTGTCACATGTCATAGGCGAAAATTGTGATTTAAAAAAAAAAATAACTTGCCAAAAATTCCGAAAAACAATATTTCGTTTTGTCTGGCAATGCCACTCGTCATCGTCGTTACAGCGGGGCGGAAGGGTAAGTGCTGCTCTCTGGTACAGATATGGGGGTAAAAAAAAAGTATCAATAACGCTGTGCCCCTGAAAAAACCCGGTATATCATAATAACAATAAGCAACTTTTAGGCTAAAGGTCCTTCGGAGAAACATTGAGCGGCCATATAGGACAAGTGGTCCCTCGGTGCTGCGGCCGACGTCGGAGCTGACCTCGGTTGCTGCGTGTTATTGCGAACGTCACGGTCTCTCCCCACCAGGACGGCTTCGACCTCCTGGACCCCTTCGTGCCGGTGCAGGTGAACGACTACAGCGAGCTGGAGTTCGAGAGCTGCTACCAGTACTACCTGGAGAGGAAGTGGCTGCAGCACGAGAAGAGTGAGTGCGGGCGGGCGTGCGGGCGACGCGCGGAGGCACAGCGACACCTGGGGCCCACCGTCACACGCACGGTGACACAAGTCAAAACACGCGGAGGCACAGCGACACGTGCCGGCGACAACACGGCAGCGTATGGCGATGCGCATCAATGATTTTGACGACGGTTTCGGTGAAGGTGATGCGTTTTATCTCTTGCACCCAGGTCGGACAGAAGAAGGCAGACAGGAGCTCATCTTCCTCAGCAACAAAAACCCGAGCCTCTTCGAGAGACTCAGCGCCTTCCTGTAGCGCATACACGCACACACACACACACGAGTCCTCGCGCACACCCATACTTAGCACAACATGCTCAGTCATGTTCACACCCACGTACAGGCAGGCACAGTCGCATAAGTCAAACGATCCTCTGTATAGCCCTTAAGGTTGCTGGGCCATGCGCTGTTGGCGAGTAGCACCTCCGGAAGGCCAGCATGGCACGTGGGTAGTATGAACAGCAACACGTCCCAGCCGCCTTTGTCTCCCCGAGTGGCGATGTTTATGCATCACACCGGGTACTCCATTGAAGGCTGGATTGACCTAGGGGATCCCCATGACCAGGGGGCCACGGTGGCGAGATGTTAACTACCTTGCATGGTATGCAGGAGGTCGTGGGTTCGATCGACGCTTGATGCCTGCTGATGTATATTTGGAGGTTGACTGTCTCTCTCTCTCTCTGTGGTCACGGGGATTTTTATCCAGGTCCTACGGTTTTTCCCTCCACATTCAGAATCGACATCGCTCGTTTAGAGTATCTGGCTGCCATACATTTCCACGCGATAAGCCACTTCGTTGAGCCATAATTTGTGATAGCTAGGTCGCCTCTGAAAAAGGGCTACACCGCTCAGTGGGCCTCACCCGGTAAAATTTAAATTAAAAATTAATATTTTTTATTTAACCAGGTAAATTGGCGCTGGCCGAGTGAGAATCCATTACGAGTTGCTGGGTTCGTAGCACAGCGTGCTAACCACTGCACCTCCACGCCCCAGTGTCACACACACACACAGATAGTATTGTCGCCGGCTAAAAAAGACGGCGCACGGCCCCGGGAGCCCTTGTGGTTCCGCGTCCCGCACCGTGTACGACGCACCTCGTCGGATATCCTCGTCACACGCTGTTCTGTGCTTCGCGTTTTACGTGTTTATTTTGGAAGTAAAGGTCCGCTCTGTGTATTCGCGCTCGTCCGCTCGTCGTGAGAAGGCAGATGTGGATGCTCGGTAGTGGTGACGACGATGATGACGACGCTCACCAATGGGAGATTACAAACGCTCCAGCAAGTGTGCGGAGACTCTGGTCATCACTCCAGGGGCATTGTCACAGCGGTGATGATTCACCACTCGGCTGCTCCTGGAACAGTCGTCTGGCTCATCAACCACCACGTCGATGTGAGATCATAGCTGTAGACTGACACTGAGACCCAGACTCAGAGATCCATAGACTCACGTACAGACCCAGACTCGTAGACCAATAGATGCATCGACATCTACACATTCACACCGAGACCGGATAGACTCGTACTGAGACCCATAGACTCGCAGAGAGAGATCTGTACAGAGGCATCATCAAAGCAGCGATGATTCACCACTCCCGCTACTCCTGACGCAATCATCTGGCTCGCCAGTCACCATCTCGATGTGACAGGACACCCGATGCCACGACTGGCGCCGTCCCAAGATCCGGCGGCCTGCGTGTGGCGGGGCCACAAAATCCCAAACCGTCGACCGGCATCGTGAACACTCCTCCGCCGTCTTCACGCCTTTCAAGGGGGAACGGACGCCGATCCACTCTGCGTCTGAACAGACAATTGAGTGGATAAACAACATCTAAAGTTACATTTTTAATCTGCCGATATTAATCCGTACGAAATAACGAGGAAAGACAGGTTTTACGTCGTTTTTACGCGGGCTCTGCGATTTCAAGCTGCATGTGCAAACAAAAATGTGCTCTCCGATGGCTCGTCACTGCTCCCAACCCATGGGTGGATTAGCCCCACTATTACCCGTGTGAGGTTTCAATCACTCACACACGTGGAGACGATGAGTAGCACTCTGCATACAGAACCAATCAAAATCCGATTAGTTCTCCGGAACACTGAATGGGCAATCATTGTATTATTGTAAAACTCAACGCGCACAGCAACTGTTTGTTTTACTAATTATTTACACCGTTGCTGTACGTAGACAGATTGTACCAGCTGCCAATTGACTCAACACTGCCCATAGACTCCACTGCCCGTGGATTAGCACTGCCCATCGACTCAACACGGGCTATCGACTCAACATTGCCTATAGACCCAACACTGCCCCATAGACCCAATACTGCACCATAGACTCAACACTACCCATAGACTCAACACTGCCCCATAGACTCAACACTGCCCCATAGACTCAACACTACCCATAGACTCAACACTGCCCCATGTAACATTAAGCAGTCCCCCTCCTTCGCCGTTCCTCTCTTAAAGCCTCTTACAAACAAAAATGAGATTAGCTCACGAAGCACGGTGCAAGTTGGACCCCTGTGGGTCAGGCACAGCACTGCACGTAGCCCCCCCCCCCCCCCCACACACAGGGGCCCATCATTCCCTTGTTCACCAACCCCGCCCACCCCCCCCCATGGCACGGGCTGTCCGCGTGAACATCGCTACCACCGAATACCCGCACGGGACATGCAGACGCTGCGAGGGATGCGATGTCCACGCGCTGTCTCGCCGGCGACGCTCACAACCCAACCCACGGCCGCCACATTCTTAGGGTCTTTCGGGAAAGTGACGTAGGTAGAAGATGAAATTATAAACCCTTATAAGCAGTCGCTTGTGTTGCGATCAAAACGTCGTGGGGTTTTTTTTGCTTTTGTTATTTTCAACTTATTATTTGTACCATTGGAACCTCCTTTGCCAGTAGCAAAATATGATAATAGTTTTTTTTTACCTCATTAGACCTCCTTTGCCAGTATCAAAATGTAATGATAGGGTTTTTCCCCTTTTTTCTGGCAACTAAACTAAAACCTTTTTACATCTTATGTAGATGCTCACCCCGAGCCCTCATTACTTTGATAGTGGCATTGTCTTTGAGCTGTGCGACGCCTTTTGGCGTCATCTGGTCGAGCACCAATTGGGTCGAGGCTCAAAAGAAAGCCGTCCCTTGGTGTGGACCAATCAGTTTCAAGGACAATGCATATATATTATCATAGTGTGTTTTTTTTTGCATTTTGACTGCAGGTATTGTGGTTAATGCAGACATTAATCCTTTTAAAAAGGTTTTAGTTTTGCCAGATAAAAAGGTAAAAAAACAATTATCATATTTTGCTACTGGCAAAGGAGGTTCCAATGGTGTAAATGCTTCACCGAGCTCTCATACTCTGATGGTGCATTGTTTTTGAGTTGTGCGCCTTTTGGCGTCTTCTGGTCCAACACCAATGTGAGACTGGGCTCTAAGGAAAGCTGTCTCGGGTGTGGACCAATCAATTTCAAGGACAGTGCAAATACATTATCAGAGTTATGTGTTTTTTTGTTTGCATTCCGACCGCAGGTATTGTGGTCAATGTAAACATGACTCCTTTGTTGCCAGATTATTATCTATTTACGTGACTTTACCGAAAGAACCAAGAATAGGAATTCCTGCAGTCACGAAAGTTTTAAGTACAAATGTAACAAACAAAAAACTACGACGTGTTAATCACAACACAAGAGATCGTCATCTTTCCTACTGATGACGATGGCTTGTGATCGAAACGTCGTTTTTTTGTTATTTTCTTTGAACCTGTCTTCGTGACTTTACCGAAAGACCCAAAGAATATGAATTCCTGCAGTCACGAAAGCTTCAAGTCAGGATTTCTACGGCCACTACATACCTGTTAACCCCATATCGGTGCCCTACCTTTTTAGAGACCAGTTCAGACCTTATTGATCACCCTGTGCCCCCTTATAAATCTCAAAGTTCATCCCACAAAGTCACCATCGCAAGGCAGAAACAGACAAAAACATGTTTTTGCTGCCCGTATTGAAACGGCTGTACGCCGTATGGACCTGAAAACTCAATTTCCCTGTCCAAGAATAGGGGCGAAACCGTGATGGGTTGAGAGCTATGCCTACGGCTACCCATCAATCAACCAATGCATCAACAATGGTGGACTCGAAGTCCCGACTCCCCTTGCTGCTGCTCCGCGATCAGAGCCGAGCAAAACGGCGGCTTTACATGGAGACTCAGATAATTGCAGAGACGCATATACTTACATAGAGACTCATGGCGATACATTAAAGAAAAGCCACAGTACTGTAGTGCGATCGTGGCCGTGCCACCCAAACTATAGACCGCACAGTAAACCCCAATGTGGTCTGCCCTCCTTCAACGGAGGAGGATGAACAGTCTCACGTGGCACCAATAAGTGTCAAGGCAAACACAATTGGGGGGGGGGTCCACCTTGAATAGGGAAAGCCGGCTGATGAAAATCAGAGACACCCGCAACAAACAACGTGTCAATCTTATTGGTTCTTTCGGTAAAGTCACGTAGAATGCAAATTAAATAATAAAAATAATCGTCATTAGTGCGGCCGGCTTCCTATAAATAGTGAACCCCTTTCCCCCCTCGTAACCCCGACCAGATAGCGGAGTGTGGATTGAGGAAGACCCCAGCTACATCTCGCTCGCGAGCTCCAGCCAGCAGGGTAGCGTGAGAGCGGTGCCCGAAAACCTCCCAGCGGGTCCCGGCTTTGGACACCCCCGGTGGGGGTAGCAGGGGACGGGCAGAGGAGCGCATGGAGGGGGCTGAGCCCCTGACGCTGCCCCTGTTGTGGAGAGGAGCCAGCAAGCCACCCGGCTCTCTTCCTCCTCGGGCCCACCGGTGGCAGGGCCGGCGGTGGCACGCGGCGAACGCCACCTCGGAAGTTTGCTTTGTGATCAATGTAGCCCAGAAGCGGGTGGTGAACGCCAGCTAATGCTAAGCGTGCCTTAAGGGGGCGCGTGTGTGTGTGTGTGCGTGCGGGAACACGTAGCCTCGGGCGTGAGAGTGGGGTCAAGGCGGTCGTCCTGGGGGTAACGTGCAAGCACACCCGTGCGGTGCGAGATATACGCGCTATGGTGTGGACAGCAGGCCAGGGGGAGGTTGTCTAAAAATTGTCAAGACGAACCAAACCCTCTGAAATCGCCTCGGTGACTTGGCTGAACAAGAACGATAAATCTCTCTTTGGTTCTTTCGGTAAAGTCATGGAGAAAGACTACGACGTTTCGATTGCAACACAAGCAACCGTCATCAGGCAGAACTAAATTTGAGAGAGAGACAAAACACAGACACGGAGACAGAGACAGAGAGAGAGACAACACAGAGACGCAGAGAGAGAGAGACACAACATAGACACAGAGACCCAATGCCTCTGTGTCGAGGCCTTAAATAGCGAGGCGGGGAGGGGGAAGAGAGGTGGATCTACTGGGGCAGCTGCTGGAGCAGAGAAACACATTCCTGCGGAGGGAGCTGGTAGGAACGTTGGGTTGCTCGGTCAATGGCCAGGGTCAACAACGGCGGCACCACGTGGTGTATTCCGCAAATATGCCCGACTGTGAGGGCGGGCACAAGCCGGCGTGAGTAGGTTAAACGTTGAGTTTTATAAGGGCACCACGGGGTGACCAGCCCCTCCCCACCCAGCCCCACCCCCCACCCAGCCCCACCCTCCCCACCCAGCCCCTCCCCACCCAACCCCACCATCCCCACCCAGCCCCTCCCCTCCCCACCCAACCCCTCCCCACCCTCCCCTCTCCACCCAACCCCACCCCTCCCATTTTTCGATGCACGACGGACGGACGGACACAATAATCCCCTGTGGGCTGGTGTAGTAACCAGGAGGTTCCTACACAGTATTAGCATGTCAATGAATCCACCCCGAAGCGACCGAGGGAAAGAAGATCGAAGAGTAATTCCTGCATATCACGAAAGCTTCAAATCAAGTTCAAATCAAGTAAGAACTATAATATATTGGGCGGCAGTAAAGGTGGGCCTTGAAGTAGGCGACAACCAAAAGCGCCACGAACAGCGATGCGACACGAACTCTCTCTCAGCTGAAGGAAGCCCTCTCGTCGTGTCAGGCAGCAGCAGCATCGAGCTGCTGAACATCACGGGACTTGGGCAGCAGAGGGCAGTGCACCATCACCCAATGTGCTGCAAGCCCACCAACTCACTC